ACTGTCATGGTTCAATGCTATGGAATTCTGGGATTTGTAATTTTGTAAGATATTTAGCCTGTTGCTGTCAGAGAGCTCTGGTGTTGCAACAAACTACAAATCCCAGGATTTCATAGAACTGACACATGGCAGTGAAAGTGGTGTCAAACTATTATTTCTGCAGTGCAGATGCAGCCCAAGTCAGAGTTCGTTTTGACTTGTGGTTTGTTGTTGTGTGCCTGAAATGTGCTCCTGATTTATGGTGACCCCATCACGGGGTTTTCTTGGCAGGATTTGTTCAGAAGAGGTTTCCCATTGCCTTCCTTTGAGGTTCAGAGAGTGTGACTTGCCAAAGTTCATCCAGTGGGTTCTATGACTGAGCTGGGAATTGAACCCTGATCTCCAGAGTTGAAGTCCAACGCTCAAACCATTTTGCTACGCTGGCTCTAATTCTGCTCCTCTCTAACTGCAATATTCCTGAGCCAATCATACATCTTGTGGCTTCATTCGAATCACAAAATCCCTTACATTAAACACTGGAAGCAAACACCATTGAGCACAGTGTAATTTAATTCTGAATAGATATGGGTTGGCGATTAATATAGATTATTGATTTACAATCTATTTCTGGTTTGATTCCCTTTCCCCCTTCCACTGTGTTATCTGTCCTTTTATCACTTATTTAGTATTTGAAGCATTTAATTGGTGTTATGAGGTAGAATCTCAGCAATGACCTGTAGGATAAATACACTTCTTTATTGTACAGAACCACTGAGGTATGTGTGTCATCGCTGCACTGAATTATAGGGCACATTATTATTTCATTTTGTCTAGGCAAGGATTTAAAAGTAGATGACTCATGAACCAGTCAGCAGGATAAACTCGCTCGCCAGATATTTTCCCAACTTAGCGGGCACATACATAGTCATCTTTAAGTCAGGAAAATTTAGGATCATGAATCACAATCTTCCACTTGCTTTCCCTTTAGATTCCAGTTAGTATTGTTCCCAGGCAGACAGCAGAAACAGACCCTGATAAATGTAAGTGAATTTCATGAGCATCCAGAATATAAATGCTGGAGGGTTAATATATAGTAAAGATGAAATACTAGTATAAATTTATGTTTAATAGGTTGAATCCAGACTTTGTCATAGTTTGAGCAGACCCATTGAAATCAGTGGAACTTATTTAGTCATGACTAAAATCGCAGTGATCTCAGTGGGTATAGTCTAAATATGAATAAAACAAATCCTACCTATTGATAGTGTGTGTTGTGTGCCTGTAATTTGTTTCTGACTTATGGTGACCCTAAGGCAAACTTATCACAAGGTTTTCTTGGCAATATTTGTTCAGAGGGGGTTTGCCATTGTCTTCTA